TATGGAGGTCAGAAGACAACTTGTAGGAGTCAGTTCTTTCCTTTTTAAATATTTTATTTACTATTTTTATTTTATGTGCATGAGTGTGTTGCCTGCATGTATGTAAGTGTACCTGTGTCATGCAGTGCCCATGGAAGTCAGAAGAGGTTGAATCCCTTGGCACTGCAGTCCCTGACAATTGTTAGCCACCATGTGGGTGTTAGGAATCAAACCCTGGTCCTTTGCAAGAGCAGCCAGTGCTCTTAACTATTGAGCCATCTCCATAGCCCCCAAAGCCAGTTCTTTCTTTCCACCCTGTGGGTATCACTGATTGAATGAGTTCATCAAGATTAGCAGCAAGCACCCTTACCCACTGAACTATCTCGCCAGCCTTTATATAGAGAATTTCAATAATGTCATGTATAACCACATTTTGTTATCTTGTATTTACCTAATTATCTAATATATTTATATTTGGAACCAATCTCTATTTCATTTATATGCTTTCGTATGACCAAGGCTCATCTTTTTTGAATGTTAGCATATTGTATAAACTTATAGTTGATGAATAAATAGATTTTTGTGACATTGCTTCCTTTTCTTGAAGGCTATTCTACAGTTTGGAGAAAAGCTCTTAAATGGGTAATTTGAAGAGGCACAAAAAAAAATCCTCCATGTTTATCTAACTACATTTTACATGATTTTATAGTGAGTGACCACAAATCTTTTTATATTCCCACAAAGTTTAATCTTTAAATATATCCTTTTCTTACAAAGGTTGTCACCCTTGATAATTTTATTGCCTTCCTTAGACTTTTCAGGCTCCAGTTTTTAGTCTTTGAGGTGTGCAAATCATTGCTGCACATAATATACCAGGTGCAAATTAGTTAACCATCATTTTTAAAATATTGATTCATTTTCTGTGTATGAGTGTTTTGCCTGCATGTATGTAAGTGCCCTATATGTGTAGAAGATGAATCTCCAGGGACTGAAGTTATAGACTGTTGTTAGCTGCCATGTGAGTGCTGGGAACCAAACCCGGGTCCTCTGCAAGAACAGCCAGTGCTTTTAACCTCTGAGCCATCTCTCCAGCCTACGTTAACCATTATATTAGCCCATCAAAACCCAAATTTAGTTTGGATTCTTTAATTTTGTCCTTAGATCTTTCACTTACAGAAATAACAGATTATTTCTGACAGTCTTTTATAACTTCTTAAGAGGAACCAAATTGAGGGGTGTGATCAGGCAAAAGCTGACATTTCACTGTCACATCATTTTTGTGTTGAGTGAAATAGAATGTGTAGATTTTTTTTGATGCTGTTTATTACAACTAAAACCTTACTGAATCTTGTTTCAAGAAAAGCTTATGGGGTATTTTATATGTTTAGCTTGTTTGTAATCATTTTATTTATATTGAGAAAATAAGAGGACAGAATTTTTGGAAGGTGTTATTTAGCAGCTAAAATATTTAAGTAATTTTAAGGCTATTAAATTCCAAGAGTTTGGAAGAGTAAGCATAGCAAGCATCACCTATTGAAGGCAACTTTGACCCAAATATTTCCCAGGAAAAGGTTTTAAAGAACCCTAAAGCAGAAATGTTTTAACACAGAGGTGAATATTTTTATTCATTACCTACTGTGAACTCTGTGTATACACTGAGGTGTATACAGTATTATTTTCACATTCAGATGATCTCGTTTGAAGGTGACAGGCTTTGTATACCTATCTTGGACATCTTTCTGTAAATCTCACATCCTATAAGATACTGCTTTTAAAATATAGCCATCTGTAAAAGAATCCATTTTAATTAGGTGGGAGAGTTAATAAGATTTAGTTGGTAGCTAAGTGAGTGCAAGAATTTAGCCCAAGTTCCATAACTACCATTGGGATATTCCTAGGAGACATAGAAATGTCCACATAGAGGAGAGAATAAGAGGTGACCAAAACACTGTTCTCTGATTTTTCCTTTCTTGTTCTGGTGGCCTTGTACGTTACCTCAAATCCAATTTTTGTCTTCACTGTCATACATTCAACATATGATCTAAAAGGACACATGAAAAAAATAGCAAAGGATGGAAATACCCTTCCTGGCCTTTCGTAAGCATAACAGGAAAGGTCTTTGAGAGTTCATGCATGTATAGAACCAGAAACAAATGATTGCATTTTAAATGACTGTGTTCTTTTGCATCTGAGAACTTGACACGATCATGAATATATGCACAATTTACCTTTCTGTTTGTAAAATCTCCATTTACAAATGTGGATGAGACATAAACCTCAGTGAGTTCAGTTTCACATTCTGCTTTGACTTTTCTGTTTCTTTTGTATTTAATGTTTAGATTGTCAGAATGGTGAAGAATTTGAAAGGCAGCCCAATAACATTGTCAATAGGTGATGGTGCCAATGATGTCAGTATGATCTTGGAATCCCATGTGGGAATAGGTAAGAAACATGTAATGAGATGGCATCTATCCTTAGATACCATCAGTGTTGTTTTTTAGGTTAACTCCTCTTATTCTAGGAAGATTGTTTTGGTTACTCAACTTGAATTTGAACTTGGAAGTAATTGTTACTCTAATGAAAGATTTTTTTCTGATCATGACCATTCCAAGGTCCTACTTATAGTGGAGTTAAAGGATATTTTATATTTGTCAAGCATAGTGAACTTTTCAAACCTACTGGTAACACAGTTGATGGTTTAGCTCTTTTTTTATTGCTGTGTATTTATTGTCCATAGTGATGAATTTCATACACATTTCGCTCAGATACATCATGTACTTTGACCATATTCACCCCCAAATCTTTGATTCTGTACCCCAACCTGCTAGTCTCTCCTTCCCCAAGACAGTTTTGCTTTTACTTTTGTGTCATACACATGGAAATTATTCTCATGTATCTATATAACCTCTAGGATCACAAAATGAGAGAAAGCATACAATGGTGTCTTTCGCAGTCTGAGTTATTTTGCTTAACAAGGTGATCTCCAGTTGCATTTTGACAATATACCTAATACTTCTGTAGATTTTTCCACCTCTGGGCAGACTGCCTGCTATGTTGCCTCCCTCTCCCTCCCCCCGTCTCACCCCCCCTTCCCCTCTCACCCCTCCCCTTCTCCCCCTACCTCCATACCTCCCTCTCTCCCTCCCTCTTAATTGGAGGTCAAGAAATTATTACTGGTTGGCTCATTTTCCATTTAGCATATTTATGGATGCCTTGGGCTATGGGTTGTTAAATTCATGTGTTGATACATACCAATACAGCTTTTTTTACCACCTGCATCACATTTTGTCCATCAGATTGCTGCTATGCACTTGATCTAACATCCCAGCAACTTTCCACACTGGATTGGGAATACATATGGAATACATATCTTGGAAATTATTATACTGCAGTTTAGAGTCCCAAATTCCTCTGCCCATTTGGAAAAAGACCTATTTACCATGGATTTCTAAGTTTTTCTCATTTCTCATTCAATGTGGAAATGGCCTAAATTTCATAGAACCTTGTCTAGCTATTCAGTTTCATTCAATGAAAGGGTCTCACCATCTTTTCATTGGCCTCCTAGACACAAAACCCTGGTCTCCAAGTTGCCTTAACATAGTATCTAGTTTAATGTTATGCACATTTAAGCACTTACTGTCTTAAATGATTTTTAGGTGGACTTTTCCCCCAGATAATTCTTTCTTTATAATTATTGAAATACTAACTCTACTTAATCGTTTTATGTTGTACTAGCAAATATCTAGTTACCAGTTAAACTTCCACTTTTATTTGATAACTTGTAGTAGCACTGATAAAACTCCTTTTTCAGTTAAAAAACCAACCTATGAAATACAAAAAAAACCAATAAATTAAAAATGAGTTATATTTAAGGAAGAAACATAAAAATTTGCTTCATGTTAATTAGTAGATATGAAAAACATTACCATTGAAATCTGCCTGATGACTTTATATCCATGCTCAGGTGCCAAGGATCTCAGAAAGTAACCGACTATGACTAGTAATAATCAGATATATGGAAATTAGAGACACATATGCAAATATCTAAGTGTTAGTTGCATTAAAAACGAGTTTTTCTGTATGAAAGAGTATATTTTAAAATGAAATAGAGATCTTTTTTAAAGGTTAAAACCTCATTCAATTTTATATCTTACAGGGTTTATATTGAGTACAATATTGTATAACTGTATTAATTCAACACTGTGAACCTAAAAATTACTGCCAATTTTGAAAGAGATACATCTTTGCTCTGGATACTGTTATTGACAATGGCGATGCTGTTGTAATGAAATGCTTCTACCAATTATGTGGTTATTAAATAATTTTTAAAAAATACACAAAAATTCAATAAAAATTAGAAAAAAACCTAATCTGTACAATTGATCTGTAACATTTAAACTACTTAAAAATGTAAAAGCCAACCAGGTGGTTACTTATTCTATAAAATTCTTACCCTATGGAAATATTCTCTCTTTAGGTATTAAAGGAAAAGAAGGTCGTCAAGCAGCCAGAAATAGTGATTATTCTGTTCCAAAGTTTAAACATTTAAAGAAACTTCTATTGGCTCATGGACATCTATACTATGTGAGAATAGCACATCTTGTACAGTATTTCTTCTATAAGGTATGTGTTCAAATATTTGTTAATTTAACTTTTTTGCAGTTGGTTGTTTTGAAACATGATGTCACTACCCAGGCTTGCCTCAAAATTGCTATGTAACTCACATCGATCTTCCAGCCTCAGCCTCCAAAATGCTGAAATCAAGGTATGTGCCACCATGCCCAGCTCTGTAATTTAATTTCTATTTAATCCTGCATTGCCTCACCTTGTTTTTTTTTCCTTGTTTTATATGTTTCTCTTGCTGTCTTGATATTCAAATTCTCATTTAACAAAGCAGAGATAATCTATTTGATGAATGAAAAGCAAGACATTTGTTTGGATATACAAGATTGGAGAGTTGGAAGTCAGTTTTATTGAAATATGAATTAAATTTACTAAAGTTTCTCCATTTAAGAGCATACATTTTGTATGTTCCATGGCAGAAAGATGGCTTAGCATGTAAAAGCACTTTGTATGTGGGCCTGGCAACATGAGCGTGATCTCTAGAACCCACGTGAAGGTAGGAGAGAACTAATGCCATAAAGTTATTCTCTGACTTTCACAGGTGCTCTGTGGCGTGATTGTGCCTTCCTGTACGCACACCATGCATGCATATGTACATACACACATTTCCACTATAATATTAAAATTGAGTGTATACTTCCTTGAATTTGACATGTATGTATCCATTTAACCCTTACCTCAACAGGAAAACAGATCACCTATGATTGTACCATGTGTAGTAATATATCATATAGAATATGTAAATATAAATCTAACACATATACTACACATACTGCTTTTGCCTGTTCAGGACTTAATACAATTAGAATCATCTCTCTCTATTGAGTCTGGCCTATTTCACTTACCATAATGTTTTCAAGTTTCATGTTGAATCACATCAATAAGCGGTTCCCTTTTTGTCCTGATAAGTGTTACAAACTATTCTTTTTCAGTTTGGTGTTTGGTATTGAGTCTGACACTTAGCTCATGTTAGGAAAGTGCTCTGCCATTGAATCATATGCTGTGCCTTCAAACTACTTTTTTAAAATAGTGAAATCCTCTGTTTACATGAAATAACACAGGAAAAACAGACAACAGAGTTGTATTATCTAAAGGATAATAGGACCGGAGCTACTTTCTTGCTTAACTCTCTGTTCTTCCCTAGAAGTTCTTTAGACATGAAATCTGTGAGTTTAAGCCATTATTTCATGCATAATGAAGTTGGCCTAAATAAAGGTAAAATGGCTGGTCTAGAATAGGCAAATCATTATAAGCTGATATGGACCTGAGCAGAACTCTGTGCTCTGCGCAATGAGGTTTTAATTTGGGGGAGGATGTTTTGAAATAATTTCAGATCTTAAAATGTTGCGAGATTTACAAAATAATTATTATATACTCTGTGCTTGTTATATCAGCTGTTTACTTCCCTGGATAATCCACAGCATAATTATTGAAACCAATGCATTTATCACATTGTAATTAACTAGTCTGTTTTCAGATTATATTGATGTCCTTTTTTTAAAAAAATGATGTCCTTTATGTGGTCCATCTTTGCAGAATCAACCTTGCGTTAAACTGTCATATCTCCTTAGCCTTCCTTAATCTGTGAACAGTTTCTTTAGTTATAGTCCTTAACATTTTGGAAAATGACTAGCTATTTAGTTTTTAAATATCCTTCCTCTTGAGTTTGTCTAATGTTGGCTAATTATTAGACTCAAGTTGTGTAGAGACTAGTTTATGTTGAGATATGTTCCTTGTTTTCTTAGTCTCTTCAGGACTTTGATCGTGAAAGGTTGCTAGATGTTGGCAAAAGCCTCTCTGTATCTATTGAGAGGACCCTGTGATTTCTGTTCATTTGACCGAATGGATTAGAGTCCATTGGTATATTACCATTTATTAATCTGCATATGTTGAACTATCCCTGCATCTTTGGAATAAAGCCAATTTTTATCATGGCAAACAGCATTTTTGGTGTGTTCTTGAATTCAGTTTGCAAGTATGTTATTGATTTGCAAGTATTTATTGATGGCATCTATGTTCATCAAGGAAATTGGTCTATAATTTTCTTTTTTGTTGTATCTATCTGGATTTGATAGAATAATATTGACTTTGTGAAAAGAATTTGATAGTATTCCATCCTTTAGCAAGCATTGGTGTTAACTCTTCTTTAAAGATCTGATAGGATTCAGCACTGAATCCATGTGGACCTGCACTTTTTTTAGTGTATGTGCTGCCAAAGTGAGCATAGCACCTGGACTTCTTTTGAAAGGTTTTTTTTATTATTATTATTATTAGTGCTTCAATCTTGTTGCTTGTTGTAGATCTGTTTAAATTGTTTATCTCATCTTGGTTCAAATATGGTAGATCATATATAGATGTATCTTCCTCCCCTTTTTTAAAGATTTTTTTCCTAATTTAGTGGGATTCAAGTGTTTAAGATATCTCCTAATGGTTTTCTAAATTTCATTGGTAGTTGTAATGCTTCCCTTTTCATCTCTACTTTTTATTAATTTGGATCTTTTTTTTTCTTTTGTATTGTTGGACTCAGGGTTTGTGGATCTTCTTTATCCTTTCAGAGATTCAACTCCTTGTTTTATTAATTCTGTATTTTGTTTGCTTGTTTTTGGATAGTATTTCCCTGTAGCCACAGCTGGCCTGTGACTTGCTATGTAGACGATGGCTGGACTGAATCTCTGAATCTCACAACAGTCTACCTGCCTCTGCTTCCCAAGTGCTGCGATTAAAGCTTTGCACCACCATGTAATTCTATATTTTATGCGTGTGCTTCCATGCCATTAATGTCTGTCCTCGTCTTAACTATTTCTGTGTATTGCTTTAGAAGTTGGATTCTACTTGTTTACCAAGACCCTAAGGTGCATTGTTGAATTATTTCTTTGAGATCTTGGTCATTTTTTCCTACTTTAGCAAGATCTCATGTATCTCAAGCTGACCTTGAATTCAGTATGTAGCTGAAGATCACCTTGAATTTGTGATTCTGCTGCTTCTAATTTCCAAGTACAATAAATTACAGGCTTGTGCCTCTGTGCTCAGTTTATTTGGTTCTGGTGATTGAACCCAAGGCTTTATGCATGCTAGGTAAGGACTCTACTAAATGGGATAAATTCTGAGCCCCATCTGATTTTTTTTTAATATTTTATTATTTTCTTTTTGTGTGTGTATGTATGAGTGTTATGCCTGCATGTATGTAAATGTACCCATGTAGTGCAGTGCCCGTGGAAGTCAGAGAGGGCGTTGGATACCCTGGAACTGGAGTTATGGACAGTTGTTAGCCACCATGTGGATGCTAGGAATTGAACTTGGTCCTCTAGGAATCGAACTTAGTCTTCTACAAAAGCAGCTAGTGCTTTTATCCACTGAGCCATCTCTCCAGCCCCTCAATTTGTAAAAATATTTTATTTTATTTTATTTTTTCCTGTGTATTACTGTATTGCCTGTTTATATGTAAGTGCACCCATGTTGTGCATGCCCATGGAGGTCAGAAGAGGACATCAGATCCAATGAAAGTGGAGTTATGGATGGTGTTAGCCATCATATGGGTGCTGGGAACTGAAACTGGGCCCTCTGCAATCTCTCCAGTCCCTGATTTTTTTTTAACGCAGATAATTGTATGTATGAATTTCACTCTTAGAGGGCCACTAGCCATAGGTTTTGGTATGTTGTATTTTCATTTTCATTCATTCTCTGATATTTTTTAGGTTTCCTCCTTCATCTGTTCAGTGACTCATGCATCATTCCATAGTGTGTTCAGTCTTCATGAGTTTGTGTATGTTCTGTAGTTTCTCTTGATGTTGTTTTCTTCTTCTTTCCATTTTTGTCAGTTAGACTACAAGAAATTACTTCCATTTTTTTTTTGTCTTTTTTGAGACAGTGTCTCCCTGTAGTCCCAGCTGACCTGAACTCACTGTGTAGACCAGGCTGGCCTTGCACTCACAAGGATCCTCCTGCCTCTGTCTCCTGAGTGCTGGGATTAAAGGCGTGCACTACCACTCCCAGCTACTAACATTCTTTTATATTAAGACTTACTTTATCAGGGCAGGAGAGATGGCTCAGCAGTTAAGATCACTGACTGCTCTTGCAGAGAACCTAGGTTCAATTCCCAGCACCCACATGGCAACCAACAACTATCAAATGGAACTGGAGTTCCAGGTGATCTGATGTCTTCTTCTGACCTCCTCGGGTATTGCACCACACGGTTGCACTTACATGCAAGCAGTATACTCATACACATAAAAATAGTAAATGAAATATTTTTTTAACATTCCAAGTTTTCTTTATTTAGTATGACATTAAATAGCAAATGAAAAGCAGGTATCAAGTTGAGGTAGACTAAAGAAGGTAAAAGTATACAGCATAACCCCCTTCACACCCTGAGTCCCTTTTTTTTTTTGCCTCAAAAGGAATAAGAGGTAGTTTATTCTTGAGTCAAATATGAGTTGACCATGGCCCAGGAATATGGATCAGGATGTGCAGAATAACATGTTCCATTGAAGAAGCACTGACAGAAGGCTTATCAGCCACTGCTTAAACAAAAGTTATAAACCAAGGCATTTATCAAATACATTTGTGGGAACCACAGAGTACATGCTTTCTGATAACAGTTGCTTTCTGATAACATTTGTAGCTTAGAATACAGTTCAAAGATTTTACCTTCTAGTCAAAAGATACTGGTCAGGTAGGGGTGAGGGATGAATGGTTATTGAGAGGACTCACAATAGCCTGACAACTGGACCATATATCTGCAACATTCCAACTCTCCATAATCACAAAGTTCTAGCCAGTCATTCAGCTGTGTAAAATCTTCAGTGGAGGCATGTTTGTGTGTGTGTGTGTATGTGTTTGTTTATATTTTATTTATTATTGTTATTTTATGTGTGATGCCTGGAACTGGAGTTACGGATGGTTGTTAGCCTCCATGTGGGTGCTGGAAATCAAGCCTAGGTCCTCTGTAAGAGC